GACTGTTGGCCCCAGTCCACCTGCACTGCCACTTCTCTTTATCTTTATGGTCTCTCTGCACTGTATCTCGCTGCTTTGTTTTCTGTGTTACCCACCTGACAGGACTTCCTGCAGGGAGCAGCTTGATCTCCAGTCTCAAAGCTGTCTGTGCTGGTGAACTCTGTTATCTCAGCAGCATGTGTTCTTTCTGGACATGATTTATGAGCAGCCTCTATCTCTTCTTTCAATGCTCTGCTGTGGGCTGGTCTCTTTTTAACTCTTTGCTGTGAGTACCTCCTCTTAATAAGGCTTCTGCCTTGGCCCAGGCTATGCTGTATTCTGCTGACTGTGCAATTATCTTGTCACCAGTTCAGATAAGGGAAGTTCTCTTGAGATTTAGGCAGCCCAGAGAAGAGACCGAGTTGCGGGAATGACCGCACTTGCCTTTATTCTCAGGTGCTACTGAGGCCTCTAGCTCACCCATTCTCACCGCAGTCCTTGGCCTGCTGGCACTTGTGACAGTCTACATTTGTACCAAAATACACAGTAGTAGTAGTAGTGGATGAGTAATGCCCTCAGTTATTTAAGTTATTTACACCACACAGCATTGATCTTTACACTCAGTTATTTATGCTGAGATTGATGAGGTGCACTTGCCCCAAAATTTTGCTGACCTGGATTTTAAAACCACCAGAAATAACCCTTCCCTCCACAGCCTGAACCTAAGTGTGGCCATCTTGGGCTTCCTTCTCCCCTACAGTCACATGCCACCAAGCCCGACTTCATAAGGAAACAAGAGAATTAGAATCTCCTCCCTCCCATCCCATTTTCAGTCCTGGTGGCAAACTTAGGGCTTCACACATGCTTAGCACTGAGATACATCCCTAGCCCTAACAATTAGAATCTTATACTAAGGATCCCATAACCTTATTGTAGTTGAAGTTATGAAAAAAAGTTGTTCACAAAACATCCTTTGGTGTCAATATTAAAATCAGAACTCACCTAGGCAAATCACCAATGCTTCCCATGATGGCAAATAAAATTACAGAATCGTGATTAGGAGGAGGTAGGAGTTTTTGAGCTCAAGGCCAGCCTGAACTACACAGAGTGATTCTGTCTCAAAACAAAACAAGTCATAAAATCAAAGAGACTATCTAGTGCAAACTTGCCTTTTGTAGATGATGAAACTAATCTTTATATTTTTGTGTATTTAATGTCCCACCATTAATGAAAAGACAGGAAAAAACAAAATCTACAAAAACCATAAGAAATGTCAGAGTCTAGAGAAATATCTTAGTTGTTATACCTCATGGGTATTACATTCCTATAATCCTTCTTATCCTCTAAATTTTCAGATAATTTTCTAAATATTTAATGCACAAGTTTTCATTCTTTTCTGGAATTTAGCTTCATCTGAATCAACAAAGCTTAAAACTGAATTTGCTGCCCAAAGCTTAGTAACACCTTGCTATAGTTTATGGAAGTATAAATCAAGGAAATAATCAGAAGCATCTGCAGGTGCTGGGAGACTTATAAAGTAAGCTTTAAATATTACATTGAAATTCATCAGCATCTCAAAAGAGATGCATGCATTGTTCCTAAGAAATCAAAAGTATAAAGTGAGCCAAAATGTTCAATAAAAAATAAAAATGAATGTGTCAGGAAAATGTTTAAAATAGGTTTAAAATTCATACTAGTTTTTCCTCATAAAGAATGAAAATCAGGCCAGGCATGGTGGTGCAGACCTATAACCCTAGCACTCAGAGGCTGAGGCAAGAAGATCCCTGCAATGTGAGACTAGCCTGGGCTATATAAATGAGTTCAAGGCCAGCCTGCACTACAAAATGAAAGCCTGTCTCAGAAAAGAAAAGGATAAAATGAAAAAGTAGATAATAAAAAGGAGATTAAGATAAAAAAAGAGGGCATAACAACAAAACAGTGCAGGTCAAAACATAGCCATTTAAGCAAAATAGTGTTTCACCACAAGATGATCTCGACATAATAGTAGTTACCATAGTGTCTCTTCCCTTAAAATCTTTGGGTATAACTTTGTATACTGTAGCACCAAATGTATCAAGACAATGTAAAACCATTCAAGAGAATGACAGTATTACAGGGTATTTAGAATCAACTAACAGAAAATGAACAATGGTTTCTGTATAATCTCCTTGTCTATAAAAGTTTTTGTTTATATTATATAGCAGGATATATTATAGTAACCCACTTTGATTTCCTATTACTGAGTTTTGTTGGATCATTGAACAAAACTGTTTGCAGTTTCACTGTTTGAAAGTCCCCTCTATATGCTTTAATTTTGTAACTTCAACAACTATTTCTAAGATGACAATATGTAATTAACTAGTGATTTCCTACTGTTTATTTTTTCTGAAAGTCTGTATAACTTGTACCCTTTTTGTTTTTTTTTCTTTTTTCTCCTTAAATAAAATTTTAAAAAAACAAACAAAAACCCAAAAACCCCAAATCACTCCTTTCCTCTCTTTATAAGTGTCCCCTTTAATTAGCTTTCTAATGGTACTTAACAGTGCTTATATCCTATACCTAGACACAAAACTCAGGAAAAATGCAAAATTCTTGCCACTCACTAGGTGAACCCTCTAGCACCCTTCCTTTGCAGATACCATAAACATGGTTCAATTTTGTTTGGAGCTATATGATATTCTGATAAAAGATTTATTAGATTACAATTTATTTATTTAATTTTTGTCTTTTTGAGACAGGGTCTCGCTATGTAGTTCAGGCTGGCCTTGAGGTCGCTTTGTAGCCCAGGCTGGTCTCGAACTTGCAACGATCCTCCAACCTCAGCCTCCCGAGTGCTGGGAGCCACCATGTCCCGGTTTAGATTACAATTTAAAAAGAAAAATACTGATTTCTAGAGCTTATTTTATCTTTAGTCTATCAAATACTTACATTGCAAGATAATTTGTACTCTCCAACTGGGTAAATCTTTATAATAATCCCTCCTTCTAAACAAAGCATGGCAGCCCTTTGCAAAGTGAGTTATTTTACTCCTCCTCCTAGAACTGGGCAGGTTTTATGATTGCTTTGACCAGTAGACTGGAGCAGAAATGATGCTGTGTGAGTTCCACAGCCTGTGCCTTCAGATTCTTGGCATTTTCTATGTTGTTCTTTTAGAAAAATGTCAGGAAGTTTGACTAGCTAGGAAAGGGATGAGAAGCCACATGGGGACTAACCTTGCAGCTCTCCCCACCAAGGTCAAAGAATAAATCTTGCTATGAGCCTTGCTTATAATCAGTGTAAATGTGATGGATTACAATGATTTTTTTGCTAAAAGTAGAATAAATATGTGATACACATGTACATAAAGTAGCATCCTAGAAAGGAAAATTCAAAGTATGTTAACAAGTTTCTGGAGTATATTTTAAAGTGAATAGAAAGTGAAAATCAGCAATAATGCATCATTACTTAAAATACCTAATTTAATCATGTAAGGTATGGACGAGGCATTTAAAAACTACTGGCTTTTGACAACTCCAAAGAAAACCAGAAAGTCCAGTTGTACACCTAGGGTCACAGCCATGCAGGTAAATGATGCAAGGAGCTTGTTTGAAATAAATTTACACTTAAGGAGTCCCAGTAAAAATAAGAAATACAAGTGCTTATTCTTTAAGTTATAGAATTTGTTTTCTGGCTAGTTTTTAATTATTTTGTTCCTGACATACTTTTGCCAAAAATAAAATTAAAGAGGATCTGAGGGTACAACTCAGTGGTACAGCAGGCGGTTAGCGGAGACTCTGAGTTCAGTCACCAGCGTCCTTCACCACCATCACCCCAATCCCCAAATTAAAGAATACAGTTGCTCCTTCCTGCAACACCCTACTTTTCACTCAGGCCTGTGGTGCTGTCAAGATAGGCAAGCACTGCAGCCTTTACAGGCCAGGAAGCTCCAGGGTCACGGATGGGACCACAAATGACAATGATAAGCAATCTGAGAAGGACATATGGACACAGTCCTGAGGCCAACTCTTTTGGAGGTGCTTCCCATGCAAAGGAAATTGTGATGGAAAAAGTAGCCAAATTCTGCCATCTGGAAGTCTGTTGAGCTCCAGTTGATGAAGAAGGGTAAGAAAATCAAAGCTGTGAGGCTTGATGATGGACGCCTGAACTTTAGTGAGGAAAGTAGTGATGTTCCGCATGCTGGATTTGATAGCAAATATCAGGCTACATTCCTGGAGTCCACTTAAGGTCATGAAAGTGGCTGGTGAATCTTTTTTGGCCTTGCACAAAAGCAAGAGGGAAAGATCAAGAGAAATTTTGATGATGAAAACACAACAAAAATAAATTTTCATATTTAAGAAAAAGAATATAGTCATTTCATGTTTGTGACCTTATCATTTACTTATTTCTTACAAGGCTTTAGCTATAAATCATATATCTGTGCCCAAAGTTTAATTCACTGGAGGTGAATACAATATTTGAGGTCCACATTTCTAACAATAAGAGCATACTCTTTTTTTTGAGACAGAGTCTCACTATGCAGTTCAGGTTGGGCTTGGGCTCACTTTGTAGCCCATGCTGCTCTCAAACTTGCAACAATCCTCTTGCCTCAGCCTCCTGAGTGCTGGGATTACAGGAGTGTGCCACCATGCCCAGCCTAAGAACATACTTTTTAAATGAATTCCTTTAGTAGAATTTTAATAGACCTAAAATTTATGTTACACCAGCAATGCCCCATTTACTGGAATTTTATTTGGAATACTCATAATGAATGGTAACCTATTATAAATCTTTAGGACTTTGTTTTTAGTTTTTGTTTTTGAAGATGCTGAGAATTAGGGGCTTCTGGGAAGATGGTAGAGTGGTATGCAGCAGAAAAAACAGAAAAAACCCTCTTTCTGAGGGTCACTGTCCAGACACTGGAATATAGCATCATGAGGTAGACAAGAAGGAAGGAAGTGGGTCCCCTGGACCGAGGAACAACCCGACATGTGAATTGAAACCCAAGGAGAAAGTGAAAGCAAAAACTTCAAGGAAGAAGGAGGCGGTAGCTGGCAGTGCCTTTGCCCTGAGATGGGCCTCACTGTGCAAGAGGAGCTGTTCAAACCTGCAGATACATGGTCATGGTCCCGGTGATGTGACTGCTGGCCACTCTGAAGGCTTCTGCAGAGAGAAGCTGCAGTTGGGGGGAGCAGCAGATGTGGAAGAAGACTGCCCTGGCTGGTGGTAAGTGCAGAGGACTGGGTCTTCCCATGGGGAGAGAGCAATTAGCTAGAAGCCATTTTGGAGATGAGCCAGATAAACCCAGAACCCAGAACTGTGGCTGGCTTCCTCTAGCAGCTCCCAGCTGGTCCCAGACACGAGGAAATTGCTTGGACTGCTAGAAGCCCAATGAGTCTGTTCTCAGGGCAGCCCTGCTGAGATTATCCACTACTCCCCCATAAATCAACTGCTGGTTTGCTGGGATAGATCAGCATGCTTCAGGGCTCTGCCTCCACAGACTGTCTACTGGTGAACTCAGAATCGTGGAAGTCGACTGTCTGATTTTCTTTCTCCTTCATTGTTTTTATGTAAGTGTGAAATTGGCTCCTATCCTATTTGTGGGTGTAGTTTTGTTCTGTTCTTCCTTTTATCTCTTCCATCTCTCTTTTACTTTAGTCTTCTGCACAAATTTTTCCAGGTTGGCCTGATTCCCCTTTGTCCTCCAACCCTGCTTCTCATCTCTTTTCTTTCACTTCTCTATTTTTTTCTTAATCCATTTTAAGTTTGAAGCCTAGAGGGCAAATTTGACACATTGTGGACTTATATATTGCATATAATTATTTGGTTTGCTTTACTTTTTTATATAATAATAAATCTATTTCATACAGTTAAAACTTACAAACTGAAGCTTAGCTCAGGTTGTTATTTTCCAGTCTGTGATTGATGTTACCGGTACCACTATAGCCTAAATTGGCATAATTGTTCTAAACAGCTGTTGGTCCTGGTTCCATGACTGAGATTAACTAAGGGTCACAGAAAATACTGTGCACAGTGCCAAAGCACGAGGGACTAGGCCAAGCAATTGACAATTTCTCATCTCCAACAAACTGAAGAGGTAAGATCTCCCAACAGACTCAAAACCCAAAAACCAGCCATACTTGGAAGATGGCTCAGAGAAGTAATCATCACCTAAGAGTCTTAAATACTACCCATAAAGCAACCCTCCATAGACGACTTACAAGCACCACACAAGGAATTAAACTAAAAAGAAAGAGAAAATAACATGAGAAGACATTTAAGCAAAATGTAACCCCAGACATCTAGTTCACCAAAGGCAAATCCAGGGAGCAATGAAGTGGGAACAATCCGAGACCCCCACCAGTAAGGTAAAAACAGTAAATTGAATGAGGTTCTGGAAAAAATAAAATCAGAAATAATCTCTCAGATAAATACAAAGATTACCAAAATACACACCATGCTTAGTGACATTAGAGCACACAGACAAAAAAAATAGACAAGTTTAAGAAAACTGTGGAAGATCCGCATAGGACAGAAATGGAACCCATAAAGCTGATTCAAGCAGATACCCAGTACAGTACACGGCTTTATATTACTATGTTACAATTTGTTTATTCTTCCATGAATTGATAGACCACTTTTTTATTGTGGTAAAATACGTGTATCAAAAACATTAGTCTTTTAACCATTTTAAAGTGTGCAATTCAATGGCATTTAATATATCTATAAAGTTGTAAACTATCACACTATTTAATTGTAGAACTCTTATTATTGCTTCAAAAAGAAACCCTATGCCTGTTAAGTACTACCCTACTACCCATTCCTTGGTCCCTCCAGCCTCTAGTAACCATTAATCTTCTTTGTGACTCTATAAATTTACTTATTCTGGGTCAGTCATATAAATAGAATCATACAAGATTCTATTTATATGACTTTCTGTCTTAGCATAATATTTTCAAGATTTATCCAGAGTACAGTATCATTCATTTTTATAACTATATACTCTTCCACTGTTTAGATGTACTACATTTTGTTTATTCATTTGTTGATGGAGATTTAGGTGTTTCTACCTTCTGACTGTTGTGAAGGGTGCTGCTATAAACATTTTTACACAAGCTTTGTTTTAACACCTGTTTTTCATTTGGGAGACTACGTAATTGCTAGAGTAGAATTGTTGCACCCTGTGGTAATTCTGTATTCAATTTGTTGCGGAACTGCCCAACTGACTTCCACGGACACTGCCACGCCACATTTTTACCAGCTATGAATGAGAGTTTCAATTTCTCTACGTCCTTATTTACTATTTGCTTTTGTTTTATTATGGCAACCCCAGTGTGTCTGAAGTAATATCTCAATGGGCTTTGATTTTCATTTTCCTGATAGTAAGCATTTTCATGTCCTATTTTTTTAGGAGACAGCCAAGATACACTCTCCTGAGAAGCAAAGTCCCTCACCTCAAACTTTCCTGACCTTCTTGAGTTGCCTAATTCGTATAAGCAGAGGTCTGAGGAAGAGGTATAGGAATGATTTCAAGAGTATAGGATATGGGCTGGGGATATAGCTCAGAGACACAATGCCTGCCTAGTAAGTGTGAGGTCCTGAGTTTGATTCCGGGTACTCTCCAAGAAATTATTTTTTTCTCTCTCTCTCTTTCTCTCTCTCTTACTTCTTTTTATTTTATTGTTATTTTTTATTTTAAAGAAAATAAAACAAAACAAAATAAAGCCAGTCAGAACAGAACAGCACAACACAAGCAATACAGGGCTTCAAAACAAGGTAACAAGAAATAAACAATGGCTACCACCATGTCTCTTGCTTTCTTCAAAATAGTTGTCCACACCATCAGATACAGTAAAATCAAACCAAGCAAAACAGAACAAAACTAATCAAAACAAAAGAATGAAAGCATTAAAGGACTTCAAAAGAAGATAATAGGAAATCAACAATGGCTACCATGTCTCTTGTTTTCTTCAAAATAGCTGTCCCTAGTATCACACATAATAAAATCAAAACAAGACAATAAAACCAATCAAAACTTCAAAACAAGATGATACCAACTAAACAAGATATAACCAACAATGGTTACAGTAAAACATCTCATTATCTTCAAAATAGCTGCCCATACCATCACACACAATAAAATCTAATGAAATGATACAGAATAAAACAAAACCTAACAAAATTATGAAAATGATACAAGAATTCAAAACAAGATAATAGGAAATTAACAGAAGTTAATTTCCATTTTTAAGCATTTCCACTTTCCATTTTTAAGCATTTCTTCCCCTATCTCTTTCTTATCTAGTAAGTATTATTTTTGGATCTCACTAACTCCCTCAGTTTTTCATGCTAGCAAGATAACTCAGTGTTCACATGTAGGAGTTCAAAGCATTTCACTGTTGAGCATGATCCCCAGTTGCATTCATTTACCTACAAGAGCCTCAAGATTAACCTACTTTACGTTATATGAAAAGCTTTACATTATATGAAAATACCATATCTTTCTTATCCATTTTGTAGTTGGTGAGTAAGTTACCTTTGCTTCTCTCTCTCTTTCTCTCTCTCTCTCTCTCTCTCTCTCTCTCTCTCTGTCTCTGAGACAAGGTGTCACTATGCAGTTCAGGCTGGTCTTGAGGCTCACTTTTTAGCTCAGTCTGGTTTTGAACTCGCAATGATCCTCCTGCCTCAGCGTCTGTAATGCTGGAATTACAGGCATGAAACACCGTGCCTCCTTTGCTTTTTTGTTGTGTCCTGTTGCATGGAACAATTATTTTCTCACCTTTAATTTTCAGTCTATTTATTTTCTTTTGAGTTAAATGTGTTTCTTTTATACAGTATATTGATGGATTGTGTTGCTTGATCCACTCTCCCTGTGTTTCTTTTGTTGCTGAATTGAGGTCATCCACATTAGTGGTTACCACCGGCATACACTGGTTCATCTCTTCCATGCTGTCCTCCTGTTGTTAGCTCTCCAGTTTTTCCCTTCAATTGCCTGTCTGGTTTCGTGATCCTTCTCTGCCGCTGTTCCTGGAACCATGGTCATCTTTATCTCTCTAGAATGTCCTTCAGCACTCTCTGTAGGGTTGGTTTGCTGGTCATGAATTCCTTTAACTGTTCTTTGTCATAGAAGTATCTTATTTTTCCATCAATTTTGAAAGATAGTTTTGCAGTGTGCATCAATCTGAGTTGGAAGTTGTTTTTTTTCAGCATTTGGAACCCTTCACTCCAAACACTTCTGGACTTGATGGTTTGTGTTGACAAGTCTGCCATGATTCTGATCGATTTTCCTTTACAGGTGATCTGTTTATTTTCTCTAACAGCTTTTATTATTCTGTTCTTGTGCTGAATTTCTGGGATCTTGAGTGTTATATGTCTGGGTGTAGATTTGTTTTGATTATGGCTAGTTGAAGTTCTATATACCTCACTTATCTGTATGCCAGGTCCTTTTCCCATCTTGTGCTATTACTTTTGTAGATAGTCTTTTTATTTCATTTGTGTTGAACCCTGCTTCTTCACTGATACCTATCACTCTTAAATTATTTTTCTTTGTTTTGTCTTACAGCCATTGAATTATTTCCTAGTTCCTTGTTATTTTTACAAAGATTGTTCCTTTCATGATTGCTAGCTGTGATCGTGTCTTCCAGTCTGACAGTCTATCTTCAGTCTTTTTAAAAATGTTTTGCCAGCTTTCAATTTTTTAATTTCTAGGTTATCCCTTTGAATCTGTTTCATACTTTGTAATTCCTTCTTGCATCATTCATTCAAGATTTCCATTATTTTTCTATGCTTCTCTTTTTAAAAAATTATGTCTTCATTAGATAATGCTTTCATTATGTTTATATAAAGTTAGTTGGGGTTTTTCTTGGTTGTTGTTGTTGTTGTTGTTGGTACCAGGGATCAAACTCATGACTTTGCACTTACCAGGAAACTGCTTGAGCTACTGAGCTAAATCCCTAGCCCTATGTTTGTGATTTCTTCTTTTACCTGAGACATTATTTCTGATATGATTATTTTTATAGCCTCATGAGATTATTTCTTTACTTCAGTTGCTATTCTTTTGGAGATTTCAGGTGTGTGACTTCCATTTTCTTCCATGTCTGTATCTCCCAGACTTGTTCTGGGTAGGCTTCAGGTCTTGCATTTTGCTCCTTTGTTTTGACATTCTCCTGGTTTCCTCACAACAAGCCAGTTATGGGGTCCCAGGTACTTCCATGTCATGTAAGGAA